AACAATGGTCTTAGCACATTGGGAATGACTTTAAAGTTCAAGTCACTCATTTCTATTCTAAATCGTGTATGCGTGGGAAAGAGGTAAGGATGGAGAGGGGGAGAGACAGTTAAGATTTTATGAATTTCACTTAATCTCAAAACATTCCCGGGATTGGAGACCCATATGAAAAAAACAACTCATTTGGAAAAACAACTCAAAATAAAAGTGAAGGCTTTAAAACAGCAGGATAGGGAATGATTTGGTAAAAAAAAGTAACCTTAGCTGTTTTTCAGGACTTGGCCTTTAGTAGTCATCTGAGAGATATCTGAAAGGAGAGGATCATTTTAACTAACATGCATTAGAATTCACTTGTATCTTGAGATACAAGATTGAATTTACCAAAGTAGTTGTTATCATCTATTCCTTAAAGGTTTCCCAAAGAAATGTTCTGTGACAGAATGTCTGAATGAAACCCTGTGGCCTGAGCCCTGAGCCCTTGCTGACCCAGTTTGCCTGCACACAGGTGCTGACTTCATCATTTAGGATTTGAGTAAAAGCTGTGCAACTGGCCAAGAATATAGGAATAGCAGGATCTTCTAGAAAGACAAGTTCAGATAATTAGTAGCAAATGGGTAGGTAGAATTCCAAAATGGTCCCTGGGATAGTTAATTTGACAGTCAGCCTGATGGGATTTAAAATCAAAACGGAAGGCTGGAGAGATAGCTCAGAGGTTAAAGGCACTGGCTGATCTGGCAGAGGATCTGAGTTCTTTTCTCAGCACCTGCATGGCAGCTCACAGCCTTCTGTAAACTCCAGTTCCAGGGCATCTGGCTGTCGTCTGACTTCTTTAGCATCAGGCATACCTGTGGTGCACATTCATACATGCAGGGAAAACATTTACATACAGAAAATAAATAGTAAAATAACAATTTATGTCAAAATGGATCAAAATGGAGACAATTTTCTGGGTATGTCAGTGAGGACATTCTAGATTGAGTTCATAGAAGGACCTACTCTCAAGTGGGCAGCACCGTTTTGTGGGCTGAGAGTCCTGGACTGTATAAGAAGGAGAAAGCAACCACTGGAGGATATAGCTCAGTGGTAGAGTTCAATCCAGCCCTTGGAGAGGGAGGAAAGGAGGAGAGGAAAGAGAGATTGATTGATTTGCTGCTCTGTACTTGCTGACTGTGAATACACTATAACCAGCTACTCACTGCCCCTGTCCCAGCCATGATGGATGATAAACCCTACCTCCAACTATAAAGCCAGAATAAACCCTTTCTTCCCAAAGCTGCTGTTCTCAGGTATTTTGTTGCTGCTATGAGGCAAGTAACTAATGTAGCTCCCAGGTTCCCTTGTCCTGTGCATACTCCATACAACTTTCTCCCCAGCACACGGGCAGGAGCTGGGCTTATGAGAGGGTGCATGCTGTGATCATATGATCTTGTAAGACAGAGCTCAGGGGTTCTGCAATTAATAAGGCTCCAAATCAGTGGACTCAGTTAATCAAGAGGATGACTCTGATAGGCCTGGTATGATCAGATACAAGTTCTTAGAAGAGGCATTAGGTACCTCTTGAAGAAACAGTGGCCTCTCAAAGGTCTGCCTGTGGAGCCAGAGCTGGAGGACGCTCCTGTTGTACAGAATTAGAAAGCCGACATGGCACAGTTACTACCACAGTCCAGCAAAACTCACCACCACCACCACCGTCACCACCACCACCATCACTGTCACCATCACTGTCACTATCATCACTGTCACCACCATCACTGTCACCATCACTGTCACCACCATCACCACTGTCACCACCACCACTGTTGTTACCACCACCAAAAACAACAACAATAAAATAACAGGCACACCATAAAATGCGCACAAGGCAGGGGAATAAGCTAGCGTGTAACTATCACTCTAAGTCTGGCCTTGTCTGAAAATAATGGGTCATGTGCTGCTTAGTTTCTGTCAACTGAACACAAGCTAGAGTTACCAGCAAAGAGGGACCTCTGTTGAGGAGTCATGTCCTTTCGATTAGACTATTGACAACTCTATGGGGCATTTTCTTGACTGATGGCTGGTGAGGGATGGTCAAGCCCACTGTGGGTGGCACAAGCCCTGGGCAGGTGGTCTTGGGCTATATAAGAAAGTAGGTTGATGAAGCCATGAGGAGCAAATCAGTAAGCGGTGTGCCTCCGTGGTTTCTGTCTCTGCTCCTGCTTGAGCTCCTGCCCTGACTTTTCTTACTAGTTGACTGTGAACACAATGTGTGAGTCAAATAAACCCTTTCCTTCCCAACTCGCTTTATCACAGCAATGGAGAAACAGGCTAGAACAGGTCAGGCCAGAGGACCACTCATCACAAGGCTGTGACTGTTTGCAGGGTCCCCTGTCCTTAATCTAAGTTCTTCATGTCCTCTAGGAACAATTTCTTTGGCCTTCTCCCTCCAAGCTAGGTCCTTGTTCTACACTCCATGAATACTCCACGAATATATCAGGATCCTTGTAATGGTCTGGTAGAAGAAGAAGTTGAACATAAATAAAATACGTACGGTTGAGCACGTTAAATGCTCACATGTGTATCTGTATATGCACATGTAAACATATATATTTATTTAAGTTATAACTGTATATAGATACTTTAGGAGGAACAGCAGTTAATATTGGTTCAAGTCACTTTGCAAAAGGCCTTTTCTCTATAAAATTGGATATGTTTTCTGTTGCTAACAAATGGTGAACAGTAACAAGAAAGTACTATAGGGTGGAGTACTGTGATCTATGCTGAGTTGTGTAAAGGCCTGTGTGACAGTCATGGGGATCTAGAAGCCAGAGAAGCAATGAGGAAACTGGCCCAGGATGCAGACATGTCCATCTAACAGCGGGAGGCAATGAGGGCTGGCTGGGCTTCAAATAGCTATTGCTGACCCAGAGCTGCAGAGGTGACAAGGCACATGAGTAGCAACTCCGAAAACACAGGCGTCCACTGTCTGTGGAGTGAGACTGAGGATGTGAGTTGGGAAAGCAAGAGCTGCAGTGTCAGGAACTCGGTTGCACTCTAGCTAGAGGGATGGGGGGACCTCAAAGTCTGCAGAGCTCAGAGTACCCCGGGAACAGAAAAAGTTCAGGGACCCAGCTCTACAGACCCAGGTGGCCTGCCTGTGACCCTGTGTGAAAGTTCAGGTACAGTCTAGCTCCGAAAATATTAGTACCCACATCATGTTCTTAAATATCCCAGCCTCTAGAAAATGGCTAAGTAAACTAAGTAAATGTCCATTCTTTATAAATTATGTCATGTGGTTCAGTTATAGCGACAGAAAACAAATGAAGAGGTAAGTGCTTGGGAAAAATTTTCAGGTCACATGTGTTTCCAAACTATTCTTGGGTTTTCTATCATAACAGATGTCACGCCAGTCAATTAATGACCTAAGCCCTAAACCTTCTCATTTATCTTTTACTTTCAGTTATCAAACCATGTGGATTTCAATTCTGAATAGCTTTCAATCTACCAGCTCTTTTCTGTTCTGTGACATTTCACGCTGAGTTGTCATTTGCTTAAATTATTTCAGAATTCTGCACTGGCCTCTCTTCTCTGGCCGTAGTCTCTTGCTTTATATCATTTCCCTGTTAAGAATAAGTCAGCGGTTTCTCTAGTCATGTTCAACCTCCTTGGTGTAACACACGATATTTCATCATCTGTAGTTAGTGCCTGGGATAGTATCTCTCTTACAATCAGTGTTTGTCAGTAAATAAAGTGAAGAAATGAATGGATGGGGTGACTGTTGGCCTCAGCACAGGCATGATTAGAACTCCTTAGCTTCCTTTCCCTGTATTCCCTAGCCCTGCACAGTTTCCTCTGAGCCAGATTGATATGGACATGTTTATAGCTCATGCTATCACTTGAAGTGTCCTTAATGTTCAGTTCACTTAGAGAGATCTTCCCCATTTACTTTTTCTTTTTTTCCATTGAGACAAGGTCTCATGTAGATCCAGTTAACATTAAAGTTACCATGTGCCTGAGGCTATCCTTAAACTGCTGATCCTCCTGCCTCCACCTCATGCTAGGGATGCAGCCCAGGTTTTCATGCATATAATGACCCAGAGGTTCTTAAAAGGATTATATTAAGATGCTCGAAAAGCAAAGTTGACCCCCAGTTTATGTTATTTCCCTGCTAGAGTTTCCCGAATTTGAAGTCATACAACTACACGAATTTGAAGTCACACAACTTCCTATTTTCAGTGATGATTTTTTAGAATACAAAATATCGGCAGTAACCTTGTTTTTCTTACTGTTTCAATGAATAGACTCATGCACAGGAAGATCGGAGCTAGTAGTAGTTACTTTGACAGCCTAGAACTGACACTAATGGGTCACAAGATGGGACAAATTCCTGAACGCCACCAATCCCAGACAGCACACAATTGCAATGTGCGGCAGTGCCCAGTCCTGAGGTTCGGTTGTCACAGTTTTTAGTTTCAGACTGTTGCTTGTTACATTGGCAGCAGCTCTCTGTTCCCAGAGGCCTTGGTGTAGCCCACACCAGCCTGCCATTCTCCCTAGAAAGAGCTGGGACCACAGGGCTCTATTAAAGTCTATCAGGAGAGAACCTGCAAGCTGCCTCTCAGACTGTAGACCTAGCCCTTCATGAGATCTTTAGAAACTCCCTGAGAAAGAAATGCCACTTTCTTGAAGTGAAATTCTGTTGGGACACTGGGCCCCTGTCAAGTTGCTTGCACCTCATACACACATACACACAGTTCTCACTCATCACTTGATCACATCCTTTTTTTTGGGGCGGGGGGTTAAATAGCCTTGGCTGTACTGGACTCACTTTGTAGAGCTGGCTGGCCTCCAACTCACAGCGATCTGCCTGTCTCTGCCTCCCTGAGTGCTGGGATTAAAGGTGTGCACCACCACACCTGGCTTTCAAAAAAAAATTTTTTTTTATCACACTTTCTAACTGCAGGGAGTCCACCTCCCTCTAAGTGTGACAGGCCCTAGAAGATGTGGTAGAGGAATCCCCTTACTTGTGTTTAACAGAGTTCGGATCTTCTTTTCTTCTTCAGCTTCTTGAAGTATCTTTTCAGCCAGGGCCTTCTCGTCTGACTCAACGCAGATGTCGGCCTCTCGGAGGTATTCCAGGTAGTCTATCTCCTGCTGGGCACGCTCCACTCTCAGGGCAAGGTTATCCACGGCACTCTTATACTCGCTTGTGTGGGTCAGACACCTCCCCAGCATGAAAGAAATGTTTTTTGAGAATTCCCGGAAGTCTTGAATGTATGCTCTTGTTGTTTCTGTACATTTTTCCAGTCTTTGCTTCAAACAGACAATAAATTACCAAAGTTACCAAATTAAATTATTTCAATTATTCAAGTACTATAAATATCTATCGTTCATAGAAAAGGATTCTTAGATAACTATAAATAATCAGAAGGGGGAAAATAGCCCATAATCCTAAATTGGTAAGTATTCCTGACATTTTGGTATACTAGTTTTTAAGTTTTCCAATGTATTTTGTAATATATATATATATATATTTACATGTCATTTTCCCAAATATTTGTTTATTTTAACCTGTTATATTATAAACATTTAAATATCATTATTTTATATTATAAATATATTACTATATTATATATTATTATATTATTGTAGCACACACTACAATTTTTTGTGTTGACTATATATTTTTTTATTTTAAATTATACTTTATTTACTTTGTATGCCCCCTCTAGTTCCTTTCCTCCTCCACTCTCAATCCCTCCCTTCCTCCCCCTTCTCCACACACTCCCCTCCCCAAGTCCACTGGTAAGGGAGGGTTCCTTTTCCTTGCTTCTGATCCTAGTCTGTTAGGTCTCATCAGGAGTGGCTGCATTGTCTTCCTCTGTGGCCTGGTAAGGCTGCTCCCCCCTCAGGGGGAGGTGATCAAAGAGCAGGCCAATCAGTTCATGTGTTGACTATATTTTTAAATTAACAAATGAAACTCCTATTTTAATTGTTATATATGTGATATTTTGATGTGGAATGGTTAAAGAAAGCAAATTAACATATGTGTTTATTTTGCATATTTACTTCTGAGGTGACAAAAATCTATTCTCTTAATTTCTAGGTATGCAGTATACTGATATTATCTATAGTAGTTATAGGTTCAATAGAGCTCTTGAACTTATTCTTTCTTCCATGTGTGTATGTGCACACATGGAGGCCACAAAGCGGTATCAGGTGTCTTCCACAATTTTTTCAACCTCTTATGTTTTGAGGCAGTGTCTCTCATTGAATCTGAAGCTCACTGACTGCCTAGACTGGCCAGAAAGCCCCAGAGACTTGCTTGCATTGGCCTCTGCAGCACTAGGCCTACAGATGGACATCAGCACACCTTGCTTTTGTAAGGGCTGGGAATCTGAACACAGGCCCTCATACTGGGCAGTGCACTTTACTGTCTGAGCCATCTCCCTACATCCAGAACTTATTCTAATTAAAATGCTGTATTCTTTGACCACTAGCCCCTCATTCCTTATACTATCAGTTCATTGTTTTCAGATTAAATGTATAGTGAAATCATTCATTCAGTGTTTGTTTTCTTGTGGCTAGCTTATTTAACTTAGAATAAAATCTTACAAGTTAAAAAAAAATCTTACAAGTTCATTTACAGTGTTGTGTATGACCTCCATACATAAAGGCTGAACAACACGATTGTATATATGTACATATTATGTATCCATATGTAACATAATTTTAATAAGATGCAGCTTTTAATTAAATTGAAATCCCATTGTTTGTTTCATTAAACATCTTTTTTTTTTCATTAAACACCTTTAAATGCACATTTAGTTTTCAAAATTTTCATTCAATGTTAAGGAAAAATAACTGTGTATTTACATTTTTATGTCCTTAAGTTATTTTCTTAGGCTAGATTTCCAGAAATAATTTCTATTCTCTTACATCTGGCATAGAGCTAAGGATACAGTAATACTCATGAATATTTGGTGAGTGGAAGAATAAATGAGTGGAAATGGGATTACTGGATCACAGAGTTGATAGTTAAAGTTCACTTAGCAACGATAACCAAAACCTTCTTCCCAAATACATAACTTTTTACTCATAATAGTGTAGGGCACTTCCACTTGGAAGAGAAGAAAATAGAGACAGGAAAAGTGGCAGGGAGGAGGGGAGAGAGAGAGAGAAAGAGAGAGAGAGAGAGGAGAGAGAGAGAGAGAGAATAGTATTAATAACTCCAAGGTCTCTATTCCACATACCCCTCTCAGGACAGGCCCTGTATTCCTGGGTTGCTAAGCCTCTGTATTGGCCACCAGTGCCTGCCACCTGGGACTTGGCTTTGCCAGCAGGTAAGAACCTAGAGTCCAGGGAAGAACATATCTTTATCTTCTGTTGAACACATCTACAGAGCATATCCGGATCATCCAAATCCATAGTCAGGGCTGTGAAAGCCTTACTTTGTATGTGATTCCCTAGTCTACAGACAAACGCTCACAGTACCAAAGGACAGTGCATCGGAGTTGAGCTGCTGCTGAAGTCTGAGCACATTTTGGCATTTTAAGCAGGTGAGGTTGGCAATGTGTCCAGAAAGAGCCCAAGGAGAGCAGTAAGAGGCCAGGGGTCTGGGAATGCTTTATCCTCAGCTTCCAAACTGCTGGATGGACAATGTGAGAAAATGCACGTGGATTGCTCGGTGGTCTTATTTTACTGATACTATAACTAGAAGACCCCATCATTTGGACTTTCAGATTTTTCAGGAAAACACAGAAAATAAATGTTTGAGATAAGAGGGTCCTTGAAGGAAGATGCATAATATGCCAATTTAAGTTTCACAAGAGCCATGCATTCCAAGGTGAAAGGTTGCATTTGTTGCATTTGGAAACCTGACTGGCCTATAAAAGTATTGAATTTTGTTTATTTGTTTGTGTTTTGAGAAAGGGTCCTATGTAGTCTAAACTGGCCTCAAACTTTCTATGTAGCCAAAGATAACTCTGAAGCCCTTTGCCCATCTGCCTCCTTCTCCCTAGTGATGATATTACAGGTACATCCCAACAACCTCTCTTATGCAGTGCTGGGCATTAAACCCATGGCTCTTTGCATACTAGGTTAGCACTCTACCAACTGAGCTGTAACCCAAGGCTTTGCCTATTCTAATGAGGTAGAAGCTCAAACACTCTTGCTCTGCTTAACACTGCTGAAAAATCTCATTTCTAAACTCAAGTCCAGTTAGGATTAAAAAGCAAAAATCTACAATGAGCCTCTGTGTATACTAACATATTTATAGTCACTTAATAGTTAATCATAAGAAGGAAAAACAAAAGCTGGAATCAATTAGCATCCCAATACAGTGAAAGATGAAAATGTGACTACAGTTTTAATTTCATACTTTGAAGATTAAACTATTGGGTTTTAAATGTTCAACAAGTTGGAAATTACTTAGTGAGTCAGACTATGTTCTGAGTATGGATTAGTGACCCAACATAAAATATTCCCCAATTTCTCAGTGCTGAAATCTCTTTGTTAAATCTTCAGAATGTTATTTGAAATTAAACTCTATCACAATGTCCATTTTATACGTGAGAAAAAAAACCCAGGGTGAAGTATAAAGTGATGCCATGCTCAAGGTCTCGCGATGGAGCAGTCTGGACTAAAGGTGGTACCCTTTGTTTCGAGGCTATGCATGTCTATAAATGTAATCTTAGCAGTAATTCATTCTGTATCTGGAAGACATGCATCCTAGCTGACAGGAGAGTGGGGGCACAACAGAGTGACTTCTGAGAGGCATACTCCGGGTGAAGGGAACACACGTCACCTACCTCCAAGACTTGGAAGCGCTGGTAGATGTAGTGTACCATGGCTGGGTCCTGGGCATGTTGCAGTGGGGGCAGAAAGGCTGCGAGGATGAGAACCACTGAAGCAGAAGCTCCCCGAAGCGCCACCATCATCCTGCCCACTCCCCAGGAGCTCTGGTTCTCTAAAGAGACTCAAAGGTTCAGGTGGTGAGCTCTGCTTTTCTGTCTGCTGCTGTGGCAATTCCTTGGAAAACAGCGCTTAGCACAGCCAGAGAGAACAAAAGTCCGCTTGTTATTCTACCCAGTGCATGATCTCAGTTTCAAGCTGGTGATCAAGTCCAGCTGTTGGCAAGCCGGTCCCTGGAGGCCTTGCTTGCTCACTTGGTGTAGAGCTCTCACCGGGCGCAGCATCTGCTGCCCTCAGCTTGGACATGCACAGACTCTCCAGGCTAGTGACTGCCTAATGCTTCCAGGTCTAGAGTGTATGGACTGGGATAGGGGTGGGGAGGTCTTCCCTCTCCTCCCTTCCCCTCCCCCAGCTCTTTTACTTTTGTTTCCTCCTCCCTAGTAGACTGCGCAGCCCAATCATAGGCCTAGCTCAACACGGGCCACCCCCGAGTTCTCAGTGTTGGAATTTCAGTTCCGTTTCTGGCAGAAATTCCTAGGATCCTTTTCCAAAAAGTTCTGTTAGGAGACCCCACCTCTCTTTCCAGACTTCTCTTGCATTCTTGTAGCTCTTAAAGCTACATAGCAAGGAAATGTGAACACTGATCTATACCATCTCAGAACAGTGTACAGGGCTGCATGGCTCTGTGCTCAGAGAGGTGCAGTAGCCACAGGCCTGGCTACCCAGGCCGACAGCTGAGAATTGTCTGGATTGAGCTTTGAAGCACGTCTTTCTATTTTTAGATTTATTTTTTTTAACTTATGTGTGTGTGTATACATGTGAGTGTGGGTGAACCCCAGTCCTCTGCAAGAGCAGCAAGTGCTCTTAACTGCTGAGCCATCTCTCCAGCCCCAGAAGAAACTCCTTAGGAAGAGAATGAATGATTGACACATGGTACTTGGAAATGTAATTCCTTTGTGGGGAAGTTCTAGAGTTTCCTCAATTACCAGTGTTAGGATTCCCATTAGCACCATCCTATAAACAGAACCCTTAGTCCAGCTGAAGATAAATCACACTGCTAGAGCAAAGCCACAAAACTTTCCAAGTTTATGTTTTCTGTGCTGATGTCTTCCTGTCTTTGCTCCTGTCTCCATAGTGAGGCCCAGAATTCCACCTCCATGTTTTTTTGTTTTGTTTTTTGTTTTTTGTTTGTTTGTTTTGTTTTTGTTGTTGTTGTTTTGCTTTGCTTTTTTAATGAATTCTTTTAAAAAACAGGGAATGTTGGAACATCTACGGGGTATGGAAGTTCCCTTGACTGAGTGTCAGAAGGCCTGAGCTTTCATCTGGTCCATACATAAGAAGCAAAAGCCTAAAATCTGAGAATTTTCCAGGGGTAGCTCTTGAATATTTCTGTTCCCAATAGATGGTCTTCTGTACTCTTCTTTGATATGATTTTGGTCCTTAACAGATTTTTCCCTACATCCCTCCTAAAGCTCCAAGCAACATCTTTATTCTAAAGAACAATTGCTCCCATTTCAGAAAACCATCTTTGAACTCCTCCCAAAATTAGCTGAACTTCAGCTGATTTCTCTTACATCCTTATTTAAAAAAACAAAAACAAAAACAAAACAACAACAAAAAACCTAACACAGCCTTATTTAAAAACACAATGACAACAAAAAAACCCAATTGCTTTTTTAGTGCATCTCTTAGATAGCCTCAGAGAAGTTCCCCCTATGTTCCCCCTCTCAGTGATGGCTTTTTTTTTTAATTATACTTTATTTACTTTGTATTCCCCCTCTAGTTCCCTCCCTCCTCCCCTCCCAATCCCTCGCTTCCTCCCTTTTCTCCACACACTCCCCTCCCCAAGTCCATCAGTAGGGGAGGGTTTCTTTTCCTTCCTTCTGATCCTAGTCTGTTAGGTCTCATCAGGAGTGGCTGCATTGTCTTCCTCTGTGGCCTGGTAAGGCTGCTCCCCCCTCAGGGAGAGTGATCAAAGAGCAGGCCAATCAGTTCATGTCAGAAGCAGTCCCTGTTCCCATTACTATGGACCCACTTGAACACTGAACTTCCATGGGCTACATCTGTGTAGGGGTTCTAGGTTATCTCCATGCATGGTACTTGGTTGGAGTATGAGTCTCAGGAAAGACCCCTGCGCTCAAATTTTTTGGTTCTGTTGCTCTTCTTGTGGACCTCCTGTCCTCTCCAGCTCTTACTATTATTTCCCACTTCTTTCATAAGATTCCCTGCATTCTGCCCAAAGTTTGGCCATAAGTCTCAACATCTGCTTTGATAGTCTGCAGGGCAGAGCTTTTCAAAGGCCCTCTGTGGGAGGCTCCTAACTAGTTTCCTGTTTTCTTCTTCTGGTGTCCATCCTCTTTGGAGGGGGGATTGAGCATTTTAGCCAGAGTCCTCCCTTTTGATTAGTTTCTTTAGGTGTACAGATTTTAGTAGGTTTATCCTATATTATATGTCTATATGAGTGAGTATATACCGTGTGTGTCTTTCTGCTTCTGGGATAGCTCACTCAGGATGATCCTTTCCAGATCACACCAGTTACCTGCAAATTTCATAATTTCCTTGTTTTTAATTGCTGAGTAGTATTCCATTGTGTAGATGTACCACAATTTCTGTATCCATTCTTCAGTTGAGGGACATCTGGGTTGTTTCCAGCTTCTGGCTATTACAAATAAAGCTGCTACAAACATGGTTGAGCAAATGTCCTTATTGTGTTGTTGAGCCCCTTTTGTATATATGCCTAGGAGTGGTATAGCTGGATCTTGAGGAAGCGCTATTCCTAGTTGTCTGAGAAAGCGTCAGATTGATTTCCAGAGTGGTTGTACAAGTTTACATTCCCACCAGCAGTGGAGAAGGGTTCCCCTTTCTCCACAACCTCTCCAGCATGTGTTGTCACTTGAGGTTTTGATCTTGGCCCTTCTGATGGGTGTAAGGTGAAATCTCAGGGTCATTTTGATTTGCATTTCCCTGATGGCTAATGACGTTGAGCATTTCTTTAAGTGTTTTTCTGCCATGTGGTATTCCTCTATTGAGAATTTTCTGTTTAGCTCTGTTCCCCATTTTAAAATTGGATTACTTTATTTGTTGCTTTTCAGCTTGTTTAGTTCTTTATATATACTGGATATTAGCCCTCTGTCAGATATAGGGTTGGTGAAGATTTTTTCCCACTCTGTAGGCAGTCGTTTTGTTTTGAGGACGGTGTCGTTTGCTTTAACAAAGCTTTTCAGTTTCATGAGGTCCCATTTATTGATTGTTGCTCTTAGAGCCTGTGCTGTTGGTGTTCTGTTCAGGAAGTTGTCTCCTGTACCAATGAGTTCTAGGGTCTTCCCCACTTTTTCTTCTAACTGATTTAATGTGTCTGGTTTTATGTTGAGGTCTTTGATCCACTTGGACTTTAGTTTTGTGCAGGGTGATAAGTATGGATCTATTTGCATTTTTCTACATGTAGACATCCAGTTAGACCAGCACCATTTGTTGAAGATGCTGTCTTTTTTTCCATTGAATGGTTTTGGCATCTTTGTCAAAAATCAGGTGTCCATAAGTGTGTGGGTTTATTTCTGGGTCTTCTATTCGGTTCCATTGATCCACCAGTCTGTTTCTATGCTAGTACCATGCAGTTTTTATTACTGTTGCTCTATAGTACAGCTTGAGATCAGGGATGGAGATACCTCCAGAAGATCATTTATTGTGGAGCATTGTTTTAGGAATTCTGGGTTTCTTGTTATTCCATATGGAGTTGAGAATTTTTCTTTCAAGGTCTGTAAAGAATTGCATTGAATCTGTAGATTGCTTTTGGTAAGATGGCCATTTTTACTATGTTAATCCTGCCAAGCCATGAGCATGGTAGATCTTTCCATCTTCTGATATCTTCTTCTAATTCTTTCTTCAGAGACTTGAAATTTTTTTTCATACAAGTCTTTGACTTGCTTGGTTAGGGTTACACCAAGGTACTTTATGTCTTTTCTGGCTATTGTGAAGGGTGTTCTTTCCTCAATTTCTTTCTCAGCCCTTTTTTCTTTTGTATACAGGAGGGCTACTGATTTTTTTGAGTTAATTTTGTATCCGGCCACTTTGCTGATAGTGGTAGGAGTTCCCTGGTAGAAATTTTGGGGCCACTCAGGTATACTATCATATCATTTGCAAATAGTAATAATTTGACTTCTTCCTTTCCGATTTGTATCCCCTTGATCTCCTTCAATTGTCTTATTGCTCTAGCAAGGACTTCCAGAACTATGTTGAAGAGATATGGAGAAAGTGGGCAGCCTTGCCTTGTCCCTGACTTCAGTGGGATTGCTTTAAGTTTCTCTCCGTTTAGTTTGATGTTGGTTATAGGCTTGCTGTATATTGCCTTTACTATGTTTAGATATATGCCTTATATCCCTGATCTCTCCAAGACTTTAAACATGAATGGATGTTGGATTTTGTCAAATGCTTTTTCAGCATCTAAGGAGATTATCATGTGGTTTTTTTTCTTTCAGTTTTAATATGGTGGATCACATTGATGGATTTCCATATATTGAGCCACCCCTGCATACCTGGGATGAAGCCTACGTGGTCATAGTGGATGATATCTTTGATGTATTCTTGTATTTGGTTTGCAAGTATTTTGCTGAGTGTTTTTGCATCAATGTTCATAAGGGAGATTAGCCTGAAATTCTCTTTTTTTTGTTGGGTCTTTGTGAGGTTTAGGTACCAAGGTGATTGTGGCTTTGAGTTTGGTAGTGTTCCTTCCATTTCTATTTTGTGGAATAGTTTGAAGAGAATTGGAGTTAGCTCTTCATTGACAGTCTGGTAGAATTCTGTGCTGAAACCATCTGGTCCTGGGCTTTTTTTTGGATGGGAGACTTTTGATGACTCTTTCTATTTCCTTAGGGGATATAGGACTATTTAATTGATTTACTTGGTCTTGATTCAGCTTTGGTAAATGGAATCAATCAAGAAAATTGTCCATTTCATTTAGATTTTCAAATTTTGTGGCATATAGACTTTTGAAGTAAGTCCTAATGATTGTTTGGATTTCCTCTGTGTCTGTTGTTATGTCCCCCTCTTCATTTCTGATTTTGTTGATTTGGATAGTGTCTCTTTGCTGTTTAGTTAGTTTGGCTAAGGGTTTGTCTATCTTGTTGATTTTCTCAAAGAACCAGCTCTTGGTTTCATTGATTCTTTGAATTGTTTTATTTGTTTCTAATTGATTGATTTCAGCCCTGAGTTTGATTATTTCCAGCCGTCTACTCCTCCTTGGTGTGTCTACTTCTTTTTTTTCTAGGCCT